ACACATAAGAAGCAATCATAAAATGTAAATCAACGTGGAGACGACGAGAATAGCAATTCTCGAGTTTAGGTACTACACTCGAGTAACGTTGCTACTGTATAATTAAGTTGGGATGTTAGCAGGACTGATGGTAGCATTGTTACCGCCCCAACTGCTACTATCGCATCGCGTCTCCATTTCTAGGAAATTTTAAATTAACTATATCCTGCAAGCCTGTGCTTTTTCAAGGCCCCTTACTCTTAAGAAAGCACACGAAGCGGATAAAAGCAAGTGTGTCACGAAAGTTCGTGACGCGTCTGCGGCGGCATCCTTCGCCAAAGCAGACGATGACGTCCGAGGCTAAAAGTAGTCCTCGAAAGGGTGAAATTACGATACACTCACTTTTACTCGGGACCGTGCGCTAAAACGGAGCCCCCCAATCGAAGATATTTTATCCCATCACGTCACCAATCACAGTTTTAAATGCCGTCATCCGACGTACTCCTGCATAAATTTAACGTACGCTGAAAAGCAGGAGCCTGTGGAAACGAGGTGAGATCCTAAGGAGATCCTAGTTAAACGTCCTTAGGCTACTGAACATTCGTCTTCGCGTGTTTCTATTAACTCCAGAATGCCCTCTCAGACGTCCATAATTTTGTATCACGGTGCAATCGTCAGTCATCATCTTCCGGCTGAGTGGACCACTCAGTAATCCATCTTGATCACTGTAATCACTCCACTAGGCCTTCGCTAAAATCACTTACAAAAGTGTATACACAAGAAACTAAATGTCCATAACAATATTTTTTTGGTTGTCTTCCAGGATTAACCGTATTCGATCTAATGGAGCTGGGGATTGGATTGTTTCAGACCGAATGACGTCGTCCAACGACAGTAAGTCTAAAAAGGCTCCAGGCAGCTTGCAAGATATCCCGGACCTGTGGATCGTTCAATAGACAGCTTCAAGATGTCCTGCGTGGGGGTGCCTCGCTACGAGGATGGATTCCGATTGGTTGGTCCTCCGTCCGAGTGCTCCCTCAGGAGCAAGGCTCGGATCGATGCTCTCTTCGAGGAGTCCAGGTAAGATCTTAAGAATATTTTTATTGAACACATTAAGATGATGACTTGAATGTTCCTTAATAATTCACTGTAGCCACTCATCCTAAACACTCAAATGCTATCTAAATACCGAGTATGTTTCTCTTAGTCTGAGTTCCATTTTTATATTTCTCATGAGAGTGACAGGTCATTAGCTAATATTTTAGGAGTTGCATACGCTTATGGACCCTTCATTTTAAGTCCAGTTCCTTTTAGGGAATCCTAACATAGGTTGTGGACACCTCTCCATGTTAGGCCATGGGTGACTGATACTTCAGTATTTATCGACACTTATGGGACTCTACATTTTAAGTCCACTTCCTTTTAGAAACCTGTAGTCCAGGTAACCACCCCATGTTGGGTCATTAGTGGCTAATGCTCCAGAATTTGTTTACATTTACGGACCTTGTATTTTAAGTCCAGTTCCTTTTCGAGAACCTCAGTCCAAGCTGTGACCTCCTCAAATCAGAGCTTTGAAAATTCATCGCTTGCCTTCGTGGTTTTAGATCGATTTATGGTTCCACCGTGGGTGGTTGGTACGGGGGCGTCTCCACGATGAACTCGAACCAGGTAGACGACGTCGGGACGGATGAACAAAGGAGGGTGAACAGCGCCGTCCAGGCGCGAATCGAGGCGATGTTCGCTTCCGTGGAAGCTGAAAGCGGAACACCCGGGGAATGCGCCGCTGCCATTTTGCCGGTAATATATAAATTACTTTCTTCGCCATTTTTTCCTCCTTTATGTGTCAGTGAACACACTCGCCGCCTTTTGAGGCAACTGCACTCCTGTGGCTAGATTACTTTGTTCCTTTTGGATGTGCGCAACCTTCTGGCACAGCTGACTCATCACTTTCGAGGCTGCTCGAACGTTTAAGTCACTTGAGCATCAAATTAAAAGACTGCTTTTCGTATATTTAAATTGGACAAAGGGAGTAGAAGATGAGTTGTCTCTTGACAAATAAGAAATATTTTTTTTTTTAAATTCGTTACTCTCTTTCAAGATCATTAAATCAAAATAAGACTAGAAAAATATGAGAAAATTTTCCAAGATTTCCACTGAAATTCATTGATAAATTGGACTAAATTGTCCGAATGTAGATCGGCGCACAATAGAATTTCACTCCAATTAGATACGATCGGATGAAAAAAGGAGATTTTCACTTATGTTAATTTGATGGCCAGTTCAGGCTCCGCTCCCTTCCTCAGAAAACCTCCGCTATTAGTTCCACTCTCGAGACAGGTTTGCACCTGTTTCGCGCTTCTTAACGAAGGATTCACCTACTTCGCCGGTGAACATTACCTCCGATCACGTATTAATCCCATATTTCATCCTCTGGCACGATAAACGTCGAGTTTTATATGTGTCCCGTGGATATGAAACTCGCGTGCATCGTAGAACTTTAATATTTATCCTTCAAGTTAATTGAAACGAGTTTGCATACTCTTTCCACTTGTAGGGTTAATGTTTAGAAGGGGAAAAGTAAAATTTTAGTCGAATTAATTGGAAATCCATAATTGTGTAACCTTCGCATAACCTTGAAGCACGGAGAGATATTTTGTTTACAAGACTCCCCATAAATAATCTCCAAGCAAATTATAGGTTAATTGCAATCAATTATACGTGCCTTCCTTCGGAGTAAATTTTTTCTCAGGAAGTTTACAAGGTTATTATAATAAAACAGGGCATCCTGGATAAAATTGGATATGAATTTAAACCATGCTTCAATTTTAACGGCAAATGGAAAATTAATGGAATCTTAATCGCGCTTTTATCGTTCCGAGCAACAGACAAAATCCACTCTTTGCCGTCTGGAACGGAAATAAAATTTAGATCGACGTATAATTAGTCTTGAACTGATTGCTTGAAGAAAGATTGAATAGGAACGATAACGGGATTATCGCAGATTATCAAACTGTCGATCGAAACGACATAAATTATTCTTTTATTAAACTTCACTGACTTTCTGATAAACGAACCGTAATGCCGTATACTTCTTTCGCATTTTGTTTTAGGTAAATTCAGATTAAATTGAAATTTTTCTTGGGTACTAATAATCATGTATTAAACAATATTTCGTTACAATGGGAGTAGAACGAACGCGCCTCTACGGATTAATAACATCGTAACACTTAAGATTACGGGTTACTAATTATGCGACACGGTTTAGTGCGATTTTAATCCAGCAGTAGCGTATTCATGATGTTGAAGAAACTTGAGATAGAGGTGTACTAGAACTACCGTACAAGTACAAAACGGTTTGTGGGTTCACTAGCGAGAAAGGGATCGATTAGGTAGCCCTCTAGCGACGAGTACAGGTGATGCCACCACAGAAATGTTCAATACAACTCTATCGTGACTGAACGGTGTTTCTTCGATGAGAACGATTTAGTTTATTGTCATGGTTTTAAAAATAGCTTTAGATAGTTGTGGTCGATGAAAACTCTTGATACGAGCGAGCACCATCGATTAATCTACATAATTCGTACCGCATTTGCATCCTGATGAACTTTCATTATTCCCCTACTTACAACATTGCCTTCGTACGTGTACGCGTGGTTCTATTACAGCGATCACTTGTCTCTGATAGTATCAGATTTCAACACAATGCGTTAGCGAGAGCGATATTTAAAAGTGTTTTTATATTTCATGTAATTTTAAAGTGATCCCTGAATAAGTAGTTGATGCAACTAGGATTCGATCGATGAACAGAAACAAACTCCGTTGACCTCGGTTACTCGAGAGGCATCATCGATGGCGCAACGAAACGATGCGGAAGAAGAGGCCCATAAAAGCAGGGCAATAAGAAAAATCCGCATACCGATGCGGCAACTGAAGGAGAATTTTGCAGTGCTCCAAATAGACTTGGTAGCCCGTCACGCTCTACGAATCGTGAACGGAATGAAAGTGACGATTAAGAATGCCAGGACGATGCCGGCTCGAGGAAAGTCCGCCTCTTGTCCGTCTTTGAGCAGTTCGCAGTGTCCATTTCATGTAATAGGTTAATTTCGTATCAAGTACAAGGTTATTAGCAACAGAAACCGCGAAAGATATTCACAATCTCCCGACCCTCATAATATAGAACCTCGCAGAAAATATTAGTTTTAAGTTAGGTACAATTTTAACCTCTCGAACCAAAATGCTATTTTATCTTTGACACTCATTTATCTCCTGTTTGTCTTCCAATCTGCGTAATCACGAATCATTTTCTTCTCTTCTTCTTTTCCATTTCAACAACACTCGCTCCACAGTGAAAGTGTCGCTATCTCGACTTTCTTAACTCGTTCACTTCTTCCCCGTCATTAATAATTACGACAGCTGCTCCAAGGACGCTTCGCACCGTGGTAGACAATAAATTATCACGAATGACGAACTGTTCCAGGTGAAGTACTTGGGAGCAGCTCCGGTTGGCGGCCGCGTGGCGAGCGTCCGCGGTCTTCAAGAGCCACTTCGTCAGCTCTTGGAGCGCATGGAGGTCTCGGTGAGAGCCGAACTCGAGGTCTCCAGACGTGGACTGACATTTCGCACAGCGGACGCCTGCGAGAGGAACAACCCTTTTCGAAGAATCGCCGTGTGGAGCGCCCTCAGGCTGCGCGGCAAGAGGACGCCATCGGGCGACGTCCATTACGCTTTCCTGCCATTGGTCGGCGACCATGATCAGAGCCAAGCAGGCGAAGATAAGCATGCCGATCTGTACAGGCGAGTATCAACGGAAGCTCGGAGAAATTAATGGCTGGCGTGCCATTGGAATTTATCGTCGTGATTTAGAGGTTATTAGAACGCGCTTGGTGACGGTGACACGCTATTGGTCTCGAGATACTTCCCATATATACGAGATTCATTTCTCTAGCGTCTCTCAAATGGCCCCCTTTCGGCTTTCATTTACCTCTATGCCCTCTCCCACAACTTACTTCTAGTTTACTTACCAACAACAGTAGGGTATTAGTAACCGGTTCAAGACTGAAAGGTCGTCTGTCAACACCTCCACTGTTAACTTATCCACGGTTGGGTCTCGTCCACACCACCAGGGAGCTGAAAGGAGATAAAATTAAATTAGTGTAAAACCCATCTATTTCCTAATCCAAGTCAATCAGCTAGAGTGCTCATCTTAACCTCGCCAGAGCATAATGCTCACAACAACAACTATTTGCAGGACCATGAGGGGTTTGAAAACAACCGTGGACAACTACCCGCCCATTTTCGCAGTGGTGATGCGACGGCCAGGGGCGAACAGGTTGCTAGAATGCCATGCATTCGCCTGTGAGATGGAGGAGGACGCCGTGGCTGCTGCTGCCACGCTTTACAGAGCCCTGCTCGCGGATCTGGACGGGAACCGTCGTCGCCCGAGGCACACGAATGGCGTCGGTTGCATCAGCTTGGCCTCTGTCGCGTCGAGCGTTAGAGAACCCAGTCCAAGCAGCAGAATCACCACCAAGACGAACATCCTGCAGTCGGACCAAGCTCGAACCCCCCCTTCGCACCCAGTAAGACCCCCCAGGACAAAGAAGACCTCGGTCTCCAGCTCTGTTACCGAAGAAGAGACTGGCAAGTCGGAGGATGTTCAGAAAGCACCCAGGAGGAAGAAGAAGATCTCTGACATCAAGGCAGAGGACATCTTGGAGGCTCGAGGAAGGAGACGAGAGAATCCAAAGGATACAACAACTCCACTGCCTCAGACTTTCAATTCCGTCCAAAAGAACTTCGATACGAGGCTGTCCAAGGAGGAGGAGCGACTGAACTCGAAGAACAAACTGTACGGAAGCAAGTCAAATACCCCGGACAATATCGAGATAGAGCACTCCGTTGATCCAAAAGAGAAGGCATACGATGTTGGTACGAATGGATTCTACGAAAGGGTGATGAATAAATACGAGAAGCTCCCTGTGAAGAACGATAGCCCGAGGAAACAGAGTCCCTTGAAAGAAACAAAGGACCTCAAGAAGCAAAAGTCCGAGAAGACCCGCGAATCGTACGACCTGACACCTGTGGGAGGCACTGTGAAGAGGCAAGAGACGTACTCCCCTAAGCTGGAGGTGGTGATCTACGACAGGGTCGAGAAGACCAGCTGCAAAGACGAGGAGAACTCGATATACGAGCGGAACAGCAAACGGGGTAGCAAGGAGAGGCTCTACGAGGATCACTTCAAGGACGCAGAGAAGATCTATACTCTTTCCCAAGAGGATGGACAGAGTGGCAGAGACAGCAGGCTTGGGCGAAACAAGATAAGGAGTTCCCAGGAGAATATCTTTTTCGCTAAGTCTGCCCACAGTGACACTTACCAAATGATTCAGGAGGTCCCTAGGGACTCCGTGTCCGTTGAACGCAGACGTTCGAGAGACCAAGAGAAGGGCTCGTCTGGAAGAAGAGTCAGCAGAGTGGTCACTATGGACAAGCCGCTGAGGAAGCAGCTGACCGATTCCTCGACGAACTTGCACGTGCCAGAGTACAGTCAGCCCAGAGTCAGGAAGAGAAGCAGAGCAGGCAGCGAGCCGCCTGTCAGCCACACGGACGAAGCGATGAAGGTTGTTGTGCAAGAAGGTAACCTGAAGAGGTCCCAAAGCGACATGGATATGGACAGGGGCGATCTGATGACCAGAGTCGAGCTACCCAGAAGGAGTAGCTTCCTGAAGCCTGGAAGCGCCAGAAGACCGAACAGTATCAAAGGTGGAACACCTTTAGGATTCACGGAGCTGTTCGACGAGTTCAGGAATCAGGAGGGCCTAACCAGCGTTGACGACATATTGGCGGCCATTATTGGTAACTCGCTTATTCCCTGGAATTAGCGTTTTCCTTTCCGTCGTAGTTGAAAATCTCTCTACTGTTTTTAGATCCCGAGGGGATGTCCTTCAACGACTTGAAGCCTTTGTACAAGGAGTTCTTGTTGAAACTGGCAGCGACGTTGACACAGGACGAACTGTACCAGAGGTCCGCCAGCATAATGAGAAGACGTCGGAGGCCGCAACGTAGACAGTCGAGTCGTCGTACCTGTCTGCTAGGCAAGGCCATCAAGAGGTCCGTGTCAAGGCTAAAGGGTGGACCTACGGAGTTCACTTCTGTGATATTCCCAGCGAGGAGACTGAATGACAGCTTCGGTAGCAGTTCGTCCTGCGACGCGAGGAACAATCATCGGAACAGGGTCTTGGCTAACAGGCTGGGGAAGAAGAGGTCCTCCTGGAGGATGAGCAAGACTGGAGGTTGCCACACGACATCGGAGGACAGCGACACGTGTGAGTAGAGTCTCTAATAATGAACAAGATTCATCAAACGGAGGACTGGTATTACAGTCTGTCTCACAAGAGCGTGTCGGCTATATTTCTGTTAATATTTATATTTTTGTACAAAATGTTATATGGGTCAAATCTACATCTATAACACTAATACGCATTTACCTAGTAAGAGGTCCAATCTCCTCCATTAGCAATTATAGCGTGGCACCATCTCGGTATGCTTTTTACTCATTTTTCGGCGTAAGATACTGGTAACGACCTTCATATCTTTCGAATATGATGAACAAGTGTTTTTATTTTGACGATACACCTTCCCCTCGGTTTATATTAGGTTGTCCCAAAAGTTTCTTTCGTGACTTGCACACAGTTATTTTGTGTAGCAGTGTTTATATAAATAGACATCCTAATTTCTTAGATGTTAATGTTGTAACAGTAATGAAGCAAAATGAATCGTACACAATTCAATAATGTAACATTAGATATAAAATATTGTGTATTTATTAGCTATTAATGAAATGGAGGAAACTTTTGGGATAATCTAATACTTCATCATGGATCACACATTTTCTATTGGGTTTATATCAGGGAACTGCAATGGCCAAGGTAGTACGGTAATAGCGTTTTCCTCTTTCCAATCTAGTACAGACGCGACTACGATGTTTAGGGTCGTTGTCCTCTTGCAATATTCACTGGTCTTTGGCTTGATTGAACCAACGTTTCACGGATGTGATAA